GGCCCTGCAGCCACAGGGATGGAGCACCGGGGGGTGGGGTGTGTGTGTGTGTGTGTGGTGAGCACTAAGGGATGGGAAGGAGGGGTGGCCTGAAGCTTGTTGGCCTGCGGTTGGAGACCCCGAGTCTGGGGTTCCTGGGAACCGCCTGGCTGAGGGTTCGGCGTTGCCTGGGGTAAACCATCGAGCTCCAGGCATTACCTTTCCCAAGGGCTGTGTGAGCGCGGAGGCTTTGATTCGCAGCCAGTGTCTTGGGTGCGGGGCCCCAGTCGTGCAGGAGGCTGTGCGGCTCGTGGTGTGAGCCGTAGGCCTTCTGCCAGGAGGAGAGGGTGCGCAGAGCCTGGCCTTGCTCTCCAGGCCTCAGGCATTCTAGAGCTCCCAGCCCCGAGCCCCGGTGCCTCCGCGGGATTCAGGGCAGGCGCAGGCGCTGGGAGCCTGTGGTTTGCAGGTGGTCGGGGGAAGGAAGTGGGTGGGCGCTATCTCCGGGGCTCACTGGTGTCTTGTCACCCCTGAGCCCGGGATCCTGGGGCTTCATTGGGGCTGTCAGGTGGGAAATGTCGGGTGAAGTGGTTGGTAGCACCGGGATGGTGGAGGTCTTTGTTCAGGCAGGTCCTCACCAGGCTTCACCGCGAGAGGTGGGAATTGCCCGCTAGGCAGGTGGCGATAGTGATGCCCAGAACCAAAGTGACTTAAGGAAGGTTGCACTTGCAGGTAAATAGATAAGATCTAAACCACGAGTCCTGACTCCAGAGCTGGCGCATATAAATGACTTTTTTTTTATGTGCAGAATCGAGCAAAGAGCTTTTTTTTTTTTAAAAAAAAGATGAGAAATGTGCTCAAGTTCAATTTGGGTCAATAAGACTCGGTACTGTTACTATACTATATATATCAAGGTTTTGGTATTCCTCCTCTTCCCAGGACACAGTACATATCATACTAAGGAAAGAGCAGAACTGGTTTTCAGTAAACTTGTTGAAGCCCTTTCTTTGTGTGTCAGGCTTCAAGTAACTGCAAATTCTGCCCCGAGTTTATTTTGTTTCATATGCCATGCTGAGTTTTGTTAATTGAGCAATAATATTTAAACATCTATGTACTAGTAACTACGGTATTAGAGTGCTGCAATTAAATGGAATCATTTACATTAATTAAAATTTTACTCTGATGGTACTTAAAACAATTTGCTTATTAGTGGAATAGCTAATACTCACTGTACAAATAGTGCTTTTATTTCTAGTCATTTTGAATAGCTGGGTTTCTGATCAATTTATATCAAGATATTTTTTGTTGACCCTTTTCATTGGAAATACTCCCTAGGATATGTCAACATATTGTTAAAGTAACAGAAATGGTGTACATTAAATTATGTCAGAAATTATGTTTAAGGCAAGTATAGACATATCCTAGGGATGGTTAAAGCCTGTATGGATGTTATTTGATTATAGGCATTTGTATTCAAGAAACATAGGAAGAGAGGCCTTCTGGTAAGATAGTGAAAAATCACAAGTTAATTGTTTCCTTTTTGGCTACCCATATGAAGTTTCAGTATTATTTTTTTCTCCATGTTATAGTTGCTTTTTTTCTTCACTTACAGGTTGTGAACTAAAAGCCGACAAAGATTATCACTTTAAGGTGGATAATGATGAAAATGAGCACCAATTATCTTTACAAACGGTATTTAAACTTTTCAAAATAAACTACGAAACCTTTCTCGATTTCAGCCTTAGTTCCTATTCATGTGGCTTAATACTTAATTTTTATGATAGTATTTGTATAACTGAGTATTGTATATACTGATTTTTTGTATACCTGTGATAAAAAACTTGGCATTTTTATCACTCCTTTGGTAATCATATAAAAGTCCAGTTACACTACTGTTCAACTTTTTATATTTATATACTTCATTTGCCTTATAAAATCCTTTAAGGTAGTGGTAAATCTTTGTCCCCTGCTGAGACTAGGCCATAGGTTGCTGCTGAACTTGTAGGTGGTCAATAAATGTTAGGTAATCATACTGTGGATAGGTGATGACATGTGCAACTATAGGGTGTCTCCCCAAAATGTATGCAACACTTTGGATAATTATAAAGGTGGTGTTTATTAAAATGCATTTCATTTTCAAAATTGAGCTATCGGCTGTTAAAATGTGTATGCAGTTTTTGGTGGCACCCTATACATCATCTTATGCATTTGTTCAAATTTATTGAATATGAGAAATTGATTGTCAGAGTCCCATAAAACTTGAAGACAACATTGTGCACAAATTAGTTTTCCATTAGTGGTAATAGTGAAAAGTTTATAAGTAACTTTTTTTTTAATATAAGAACTTTTGGGGGGGATTGTATAATACAGAAACTTAAGTTGAAGTGCTGTTTTTCTGTTCACAGGTCAGGTTAGGGGCCGGTGCAAAGGATGCAAAGTGGACAGCACTTAGTAGGTATGTTATTTTTATTATCTTTTATGCAGCTACTTTGTCCCAGCCGGACTACTATCTTTATAGTAGGTTCAAATGGGAATCTAGTAGTTACATATATTACTAATTTATAACTGGAAACACCTGTTATTTTGCATATAAAACCTAGTAATGAGTGTTAGGCCCCACAGTTCCTTTTTGTAAAAAATTTTGTTTGCTTTTTGCCTTTTTTAAGCAGTCGAGTCTGTTTTTAAATACTCATTACTGTATATTAATGCCCTTTTTTCTGAGTTCTTGCTTCTGGGTTGAGTTTTGGTAGTAGCTAATAAAGAAATTTATTTTAGCTGTGGAGGAAGATGCAGTCAGAAGATGATGAGGAGGAGGATGTGAAACTCATGTCTGGAAAGCGTTCTGCCCCTGGAGATGGTAGCAAGGTTCCGCAGGTATAGATGTAATTTACGACAGGTATCTTATTCCGGTTTTTAGTTTGGGCACTTGCTCATGAGGTTTTTTGTTGTTTTTCTCTTTAAAGAAAAAAGTAAAACTTGCTGCTGATGAAAATGATGAGGACGATGATGATGAGGATGATGATGATGAAGAGTAAGTATGGATTCAGAAGCTTGATGAGGTTGTATGGGGGGTTTTAAGAAAATTTTTTTCTAAAATCGTCCTGTGGAATTGAGTAATAGCTTTAAATAAAGAGTAAATGGTCAGTGGTTGTCATTTGGGTTAAATGAGCCAAGTTAAAGGACACTGTTGGAACTAGGAACCTTTAAAGTGCTTCAGTGTATTGAGAATTTTCAGAACTATTTCCCTGATGTGTTTGACTAGGTACCGCAAGCATGTCAAACTCGCGGCCCATGGGCCACATGCAGCCCACAACAAATATTTTTGCGGCCCAGCCAATACAACGGTATGTAAGAAATGTTTTAATACAAAGTTCGTAACTTAATTTTTACAATATCCTGTTATACTTATTAATAACGAACTAAAATGTTCGCTATGACTGATTACTAGAATCGTGTTGGATTCATTTCCCTTACGCACCTATGCACAGGCGCACCATTTCTCCCCACTAATACTAGCAGCGAATATTTTAGCAGCCGATGGCCACGTCATTAGTCTTGTACTGACTTGTTTGGTGTGCGCAACAGGAAATATTTCGTTTTCGGAGAATAAGAAAAATAGGTTTATTTGCGTTATGCTTATTAATTTGTGCAGTTTATTCAGTGTCTGGTAAGTTAACATTAAAGAGAAAATATTAATTTTTATTAAAATGTTCTATTTATGTTAACAATTACTCATTTATTTCAGCCCTTTGTATTCAGCATGTCTCTATCGAAATACACCTACATTTCTATGAAAATTGAAGCTTTTGTTTTTTTGCAGCCCACATAAGATTAAACCTTCTTCATTTGGCCCATGTTAGCCTTTGAGTTTGACATGTTGACCTAGATGCACAGAAATAAAGGATAGGGCTTGCCTGAGGCAAAGATGAGCCTTTTAATAAAGA